ACACACACACAGTCGTGCATTGCATTGAATAAATAGACATTTCATTGAGAAATTTGGACTCATGAGCATACTTTCAGATGGGAGAAACACAAGCACTTTAGAAAACATCATATCAGCTAATTCATTAATTCTGCTAGAATTTCCAACTCCACAGAGACGGAAATTAAATAAAAATCCACCCATCCTTTAAGTCATATCATAATCACTCATCAAATGAAAACATGAAGGGGTAAAATATGACTTATATGTGTCTATTATGGACTGAAAGGTACTACCCTCACACATTCACCTGCTTCCGCCCTAATTTCCAGTATCTTAGAGGAATGCTATATTGGGAACTCAAGAGTCTTGAAAGGTGGTAATGATGCCAATTTTGAACTTAATTTTAGCATCCAGTTCTTCCCAAGACCATTACACATTCTTGGAGTTGAATACTTTCTTTTCCCGGGTTTTGTGGTCTCCACCCTCACTAGTTCCAAGAATCAGCTCACCCCTGCTTTTCAGGTCAACACATAATGGCTTCATATCTTCAATGGCAGTCCATTACGAAGAGTGAAAACGGCTGCTAAGTAGTCATTAAGATAAGTAATATGGCCTAACTCGAATTGCTATCTCAAACCCTAAAGACCATTGGTGTGCTTCAGTTCTTCTCTGCACCCAGTGTACCGTTGATTTCCAAACTGAAGTGTTTGCATGAGGAGGGAAGTGTGTGCCAGGTTGTGGGGACCAGGATGCTTGGTCAATACTAACTCCTAGGAAAGAGAAAACTCCATGCTAATGTGACATTCTGATGCCTGGGTTTGAGAGAGTTTGGCCTCCTGAAATAAACAGATCGTGGATTCTCAAGGAAAGATGAAAATTGGTTCTTGAGGAAATGAGAAATAAACAAACAAACAAACAAAATTGAAAGATATGTGATGTTGTGTCCCTCCATAACAGGAAAAAGAAATCCACCAGCCACCCATGTAGGGAGTAACGTGAAAACAAAAAAAAAAGTTTCTGAGAGTTAATTCCATAGGCTACCAGACAGAATTATGAATTACAATAGTTGATTTCTAAGTGTGAAATGTACCAAACCACACACTGACATTTGCCAACTCATTTTATTCTCATGGTAACCCCAGGAGGTATTTGCTTTGCCATTTTAGAGAAGTAGAAACTGAAGTGTCAAGTGTTTAAGTTAACTTTTCTAAGGTTACGCAATTCAGAGCTGGGATCTCTGTAGCAGAACACTTCCTGCTGATACTTCACTTCATCAATGCACAAAAAAAACCACTCGTAGTGCAATCAGTAAAATAGGCTGAAAAAGATACTCGTGCTAGTGGTTGCTAAGGTGTTCTTGTAGTAACTCTACTTTTTCTCTACAGTTTTGAGCTCTAGCCTTTACAAAAAGTTCCAAAACATATATAATGCCACTCATACTTTTCTAAATAGTGTAAAGAAAATAGAGGTATAAAGTTACTACTGAATGAAAAACTAGTTGGATGGTATAGAAAAAAAAGATTATTTACTTTAAGCCGGTTTAAATTGCTAACAAATTGAAGACTTGAGAAAGATGAAGAGGGCTGAATCTTAGAATACCCGTCTTCCAATATACAAAAGAGAACTGGAAATTTAAGGGTGCAAACAATGTTAGTTCACTCGTGGTTTCATAGGCAGACCAAAACTTGGAATCTATATCAAAACTAGAATATTAATGTCCAATAAGGAATGCATTATGTATAACATCTTATTTAATATTTTATGATTTCTTCATTTCATTGACATAACTGTATTATATCTGTTGTTAGATAACTTGAGCACTACAGAAATTTCTAAAGACATGTCATGGTTCTAAAGCACAGAAAATCAGCCCTAGTGTGCACATAATCTAGTTGAGTAAAAACTCAGCTAGGAATGAACCATTTGATGAGGAAAATTAGGCTCCAGAACTCCAATATATTTGTTAGCTACCATGTAGCTGAGAAAAAAACAACCAACCAACCAACCAACCCTAGGCTTCCTACAAGTTGTTGCCGTAACCAAAGAAAGTAGATAGAAAAAGTGTATGTTTTTACTGAATTAGCTGGTTTTCCTGATGAACAAACTCATATAAAGACTTCCATATCCAGGCATGTCTGAAAACTTGAATTATTTATCTAGTTCACTAATGTTAGGCCCCAAAGGGCTATGAAATCTTAGTGGCATATTCTCTGTGACCTGTAATGATTCTTAACTGTGTGTAAGAGTCACGCTGGTGCTAACAGCATTAAGAAATCACTAACTGTAAGAAAACCTATTGTCTTCTCATTTTCCTTCTTAACCTGACCCTTTCAATCCATTCTTTCCACACATACCTAGTGAGAATGACTACTTTTTCTTCTCATTTTAAAGACTTCTATGAAGGCATTTCAATAGCAGTGCTCTGAACTGAAGATATTTAGAGAACTAGTTTATCTGAATTCTGCCTTCTTTTATTCTTTTATTAGTTCAATTCCTAAGTTAATAACAACAACAACATCAAAAAGCTTAGTCTTAAAAACAATCCCCAGGTTTGTCTTTCTCTGATTTATATTTTCTTCCACAATGGAGTTTTCCATCTATGTTTGATTTTTTTTCAGCCACACCAATTTGCGAAGACAAATGATTCCCAAAGCAACCAGTTATTCTTAACCAAGTGATCCACTATTCATAAAAAATAATAATGTCCAACACTTGGGTTATAGTGTAAGAAGAAAAAAATCAACTACCTGTTCTTACAAGAATATCTGTTCTTAAAAAATTTCAAGAGCCCCCAATAATTTTTGTCTTGTAAGGTAGATTTCCAGACAAAATACATGCATTTTGAAAGCACAGGAAATCAAATATAAATAAAAGAAGACCTGAGGTGTTAGGACAGTATAACTCCATATTCCAAGTAATGTATACATGTCACTCAATCTTGCTAGATACCAGGATGGAAGCAAAGAACACATAATTATATCATCATTATATCTAAGCTTCTTTCCAATTTTAAAATAGGTGACAATTTTCCAACCCATCACATTTCCTAAAACCAGAAAAACACTCCACCAAAATGATTTTAAAAACAAATAGGATGGTGTGGGATTAATTCAGATAGAATTGCTTCTTGAAACTTTCAAGTTTATTAAAATAAGGAAGAAAGAAATAGATGTGGGCTTCCATAATAGTAGTACATTTTAACAGGGTCAAAATGTCCCCCATCAATACACTTGCTATTCAAATTTGTACAAGTTTAAATATTTTTTCTCCATTTTTAAACCAGCCTTCCATGATGGGACAGAAAATTAGAAGAAGAAAAAAAGACTGAAGAATAATGGGGCACAGCAACATCTTGTCTTAGAAGTTGTTTATCTGCCCTTATCTTGTCCTCATCAGAAAGCTTTATTCAGCAATGAGCAGGAAGATAGAGCCATTCCTTTTATGATGCTTTTGTGGTTATTAGTTATTCAGTCAATCCTGCTATTCTGAAAGCATTATGACATAACTCTTAAATTTATTTTCCCCTTAATAATCAATGCCCAGAACTTGCTTTTTCCTATAGAGCCAAAGGGCTTTGATCTATTATTTTCTCTGTCAATGACTTCAATGAAACAAGAGTATTAATTACTAAGTGTGTAGTGAGTGTGTTCTGAGCAGAGAGCCTGTGCTAAAGTTCCTTCAGTAAATTCTAAATAAACAAATAAATAAATCAGTTGATTTCCTCAGGTCCAACTTCTCTGTTTAGGAGAAAGTAATATCAAAAGAATGGATCAGGGCTGGGAAGGTGGCTCAGTGGTAGAGTGCTTGCCTTGCACGCCTGAGGCCCTGGGTTCGATTCCTCAGCACCACATAAGCAAAAAGAAAAAAGCCGGAAGTGGCGCTGTGGCTCAAGTGGTAGAGCGCTAGCCTTGAGCTGAAGAGCTGAGGGACAGCGCCCAGGCCCAGAGTTCAGGCCCCACGACCCGACCCAAAAAAAAACAAAACAAAACAAAAAAAAAGAATGGATCAATAAATAGTAGAAGGCAGAAAGGCCATATAGGCCATAAAAAGAGATTTCAACAAAATTTTATCCAGGTACTGAACAGGAGAAAGTTGAGATCAAGGAAAGTTTCCCGTGATTTTTTTTTCTCAGTCACCCTCCCCTACCCTCACAAGTGAGCTGTAAGGAAGAAAATTATCCCTGGACCCCTTTATCAACAAAACAGCCCAAGAACACAGATGACCATTGATTTGGAGGTTATGCTGTTCTCCACAGTAGGTTTTCAAACGGTTACTAGCTTCATTTTAAATAGCAATGCAGAGTCTCTGTATAGGACTTCACAAGTGTGAAAGACAATACCATCCATTTGTGACCATCTAGACGACTTATCTCCCAATAAGTTGCTAAAAAGGTCCATTCAGATAACAGGGCAAATTCCATTGATGTGAATGTATAGTCCTAAAAGAAAAATTATCACTTTTTCCTTGCATTCTTTATCGTAATTGGAACTTTTCCCAAATCACAATTCTCTCCACTGAGCAATGGTCTCCATTAATCTAGTTTCTCTTTAAAAACTCCAACTTTATAATCCAGTATTATTTGGCATTTAATTTTTTCATTAAATACATATATACCATATAGAAAAATCAATAAAATATTGAATAGTCTTTTCTTATCTTTTGTTTAAAACAAAAGAAAACTCTAAATCTGGCTTCAAACAAACCCTGATGAAGACAAAGAGAGAGCTGAATCTAATCAATCTTGATTTCTCTGATTTTGCCTCTGAGTTGCAGAATGCTTTAATAAAATCAGAAGGGCTAGCTCCCCTTTCCAATCAAGAATCAGGGCAGAAAGAAGAGCCAGTCCTGTGACGGGAAAGCCTCCTTGATAATACTCTTTCTTTGGCACAAGGATTATCTAAAGTTGTGCTAGCAATGTCTTTAAGAAAATGGAATAAATGTGTCATCATTTGAAAGCACAGTTTTTTTTCAGGAAAGAACTAACATATATATATATATATATATATATATATATACACATATATATATATATTACATATATATATATATATAATATTATATACAATCACGTATAGTTTATATATGGATTCAGAGTAGGCTTATAAACATATATGTAACTGTTCCTAGACCACAGAACATCTGAACAACACATTTCAATACCCTGTATTATAAATAACTAATGACAAGTTTAATTCACATCTTTGTATATAGGTGACAAAAGCAAGTATCTGTACAAGTAGAGAAACATCATGTAATATCGAAAATGAACCATACTATCTGACATCCAGGAAAAATCATTAGTAGAGTCTCAGAACAGAACCATCTCAGCATTCAGAAAAATCCATGGTGATCTCAAAGATAATATGGAGAATTCTTTCTGCTAGTACTCTTCCTTTACCATTAACATCCCTGAGGGTTTACCATTAATAGTCATCAATGTTAAGGAGCTAGTATTTGTGTGAAATTGATCATTTATAAAATATTGTCAGATGCTTCTCATTGGCTACCTCAAAACATCTCTCTGTGTGATGTGAGTATGGTCATTGGTCTGACTTTATAAATGTCAAAGCTGAGGCTCAAGAATTAGGCAGAATTTTTCAGGATTACAGAGTTTGCAGGTTGTAGAGTTTGACTTCAAGCCGTCCTGTTGTGTTCTGACTCTAGTGCTGTGCTCTTTCTTGGGTTGGGAAGGTCTGCATAGCTTCTCTCCAGGAAATTACTCCACTGCAACTTACCCTTCACAAGTTACTAGGGCTACCTATGGTCTTCCATTACAGATGAGCATGTGGTCTCCCTGGGGAAATGATGGTAGGGGCACAATGTTAGTGCTGAGACTCTGGTTGTGCTCCAGCATTTCTCTAGGAGGATGGTGCTGTGCCATTTAATGTGCAGTGGGACCTGCAATGCTTACACACTGGATGGACAATGGTCTGAGTTAAAGCCAGAGAGGATTTGTCCTGGACCTGACTGTGGGGGCCATGTTGTGTTAGTGATTCTCTCCCGCCTTCCCCTTCCCTCTGATCTCATTCCGTACTCCCTTCAGCACCTCTGTCTCCGCAGCATCACAGGGTTCTTATGATTTGTCCCTGCTTATCATCATCTGAGGTTAACTTGTGCCCCAATATCCAACTCGCCTCCCACTGCCTTCCTCCTCAAGGACAAAGTTTCCATTTGTTTCTTGGATTCTATGACTCAACAGTTTCACATACAAAACGTGACTAATAGCTATCATTGTGGTTTGACAACAGGCTAAGTTAGTCATCCACTAAACATCCACTTAGCACTAAGACAGAAGACACTCCACAAATCATGAAAAGTAAGTCAAAGACAAACTCAGAATAACTCTTCTGTGATCACGTCCTTTCTAGTCCAAGGACTCTTTGCCAGCACTGGAATTTTGCCAAGCAGCTACTCTTTGCTTTCATATAAATTATACTAACGAAGTTCCTTATTCTCTGTCCCCATACAGTCCAGCTTGCACTATCCTGAAATACCTGGGGAACTGCTCACAAAGCAGCCCAGGATGTGATTTCCTACAACAAAATGTCATGACTTCTTGCATTCCTCATTTACCTCAACTTCTTAAGACTTGATACTCTTACCCATCATCCCTTTCTCTAATCTCTCATGAGTTTCACTGATGTCCTCTCAGATTCTTTCACCTTTCTTACCTGTCTGCTTTCTAACCCCTAAATGAGCATAGTTCACAGAAGGTCCCTTTTCTTCAATACATGAGAAAATTCTACCACTTCACACGTATAAGCCAGGTGATTCACACCTGTAATGCTATTGGGTCAGAAGATGGAGATTTGAGAATCCAAGTTTGCGGCAAACTCAGAGATGGAATCATTTGCTAGATTCTAGCTCCAAAACAAACAGCAGAAATCAGGACTGGAGGCAGGGCTCAAGTGGTAGAGTGACAACCCTACAAGCATAGGATTCTAGTACAAGGCCTAATACTGCCCCCACCCCAAACAACAACAATTGGATCTTAAATTCTTAACCCAACTACAGTTGATGGATCTGAAATGCAGTTCTATGGGTATTTACAGCCTTCCATCCATCTGCAACTCCAGAATGAATCTCTCAGGCTCTTCTGGCTTATCCATCTTGACCAGACGCATCAACATTCTTTCAATTATCCAGAGCAAAAGAAAATGAGAAAAACAAAAACAGCACTACCTCCTACTTTCCCAAAGGAATCTTCTGGAGATCCACCTCAGCAGAGCACAGCACCACTCCTCTGTGTCACCTCCTTCCTATACTCACTGCCACCCTGTAAATCTGTAAATGGACAAAACTGCACCTGCTGTACAAATCCTTGCCTTGGCTGGCTTTCTAATGACCTTCCATCACTTGCAAATGACACTCTGCAAGCCATTATGTCCTGCAAAACTGTTGTGTCTGTTGCCTGTAACAATAATATAATGTCTGCTTCCCACAGCTGAGTTAGCCTAAAAAAAATCTATTCTTGTATTTAAATTCCAGATGTAATACTGTCTAGATGTGTGAGTGAGGATAAATTTTTTGGTGGTTTCCTGACCTGCCTCACTCATCAATAAAACGCAATTATGCATTTGTTAATCAGGTGAAGGGGGGCAAGAGAGAAAAGGAAGGAAGGAAAGAGGGGAAGGATAAAGGATGGAAGGATTAAAAAGGGAGGGGATGAAGGAGGGAGGAATAAGAGAATAAGAGAAAGAAGGAAAGAAAACAGGGAAAGAAGAGAAAAAGGAAGAGAAAAGAAGGTAAGGAAGAAAGAAAGGAGGGAAGAAAGCAAGAAGGGAGTAAAAAGGGAAGGAAAAAAGGTAGGTATTGTTATTTTCACTTATGGGGAGAAAATTGTGATTTGATGAAGTTAAATTACTTGTCAAGCAAGTTACTGAAAATTTCCGAATCCGTGTCCTAAGATGAATCAGCCATATATAAAAAAGTTTCCTTCCTCAGCCCCCAATGTTTGGTATTATTCATGAACAACAACAAAAATTTTGATGAAAATCTACGACAATTTTGGAATTCCAGAACAACGTCTTTAGTTAATTAAGAAACCTGTTTAAGCCCAGGATGTATGAACTGTAGTCAGACAAACCTGTAGGTCCAAATACTTCCTGCTATCAATGGACTGTGCACACATACTTGGCAAATCATTTAACTTCTCTAACACAAAATTTCCTTACAATGTGGTTGTAAAGATTAAATGAGGCCACTTATGCAAAGCTTTTCCTTACTAAATGGCCTGAATGGAGTGAGTGCTCAATAAACAGTAATCATTATTTTCATCATTAGAGGTAGACTGTGTCTCTACCAAGTGACCAGCTTAACAGCTTGAGTGAAATAAATGAAGTAAAATAGTGGCCAGTGTAAGCAAGTCATTAGAGACAGGTCAGTACTGAGGACATCAGCTCAGCTGTGCTACCAACTGCAGACAATTATGTGTATGACTATAAATAAATCAGTGTCGTTGTGAAAAAGTGCCACCAGAGTCTATCTTCTAGGCCATCCCACAAAGTTGCAGCAACGTTCGGCACATAATTCGCAGCCATACATTACTATGTAATTCATTGGTGCCTTTGTTTTTTTTTTTTTGGCAGAAATCCAAAGACCTGAATGAGAATCAAGTATGTTGTTTATTCACAGATTCGAGCTGATGAAGTTTGTTTTGTTTTTTAATCCATTACCTATCTTAAAGTCAATTGCATTTTCTTACTGCAATATCAAACTTTTAACTAAGAATGTGATGCGTTCAAAGACTTCTGCTGCTTAATTGGGAAAAAAACAGCCAGCAAAGTTCAATAGCACATACTTATAAAAGCATATTTCTAATGGTCTTCTATGATGTCCCTCCTCATAAAGCAAACCAAATACCTCTAAAGGGCAATGTTCCAGACATGCCAGGCCTGTGGTGTAAATACGGGTCGCCAGAGGCGGGTGGCGCAGTGAGGGTAGAAATGGAGGAAGATTGATGCATGATTCTACAACATGGCATATTAGATTAGGCTGGGCTGTGGTCAGAGGTTCCCAGACTTCCTCACCAACTACCAGCATGCTCAAATGTCAGTTCATAACCAATGCAGGCACTGGTACCAAATAATCTGCGGACTCTCTACCAGAGGGTAGAGAGTGGCAATGCCCAAGAGGGCTGTAGTTTTATCAAGGTAAATCATTACAGTATCATCTCAAGCTTCTACTTCTCTTCATGAATGAGAGGATAGGGATTGAGTAATATATGCCTGTGTTCATATATACAAATGTAGTTTATGCCTAAATATTTAACATGTCTCCTCATCTTTCTCTAACACTCTGACAAGTTCTTCATTTTCCAACTCTTGGAGCTACACTTTCTTTATTACAATTTAATTGACTTTTACATATTAAATTTTACTTGAAAGGCTGATTGTGAGTTGAAAAGTACCAAAGTAATCATACCTTTGGAGCAATGCTTTATGTCATATTTAATTTGATCCAAACTCGAGTGGCAAATTCTACTTTCCCTCATTTTTTTTTTCATATCAACACAAAGGATTATAATAAAGGCTTAGCTAAAAATAATAAGGTAGAAGTAATTTCTGTCATTCACACACCCCTACTTCAACTTCCTTTTACTACATTTCTAAAAGTTTGCTTTTCAAGAAGCAAATCCTTAAAGCCATATGCTAACTATTTCCCAGCTCGCCACTCTCATTACCATTTAAAGTGTGCTCAGAATCAACTGAAAGTCAACACATTACAAAACAAGACACAGTTAGCATGCTCTGATCTGTGCAGTTATGCTGAAACATCCCAAATTTCCCAGGTACCATGGTAACAGGTAGAAGGAGCTTAAATCATAAAAATCTTAAAAATGAATAAAGTATGATGGTAGATTTATTATCATTAGAACTTCTAAATCTGAAATTTTATCAAATATATACACATCACAGATATCTAGAAAATAAATTTCCATTGAGTAGACAGATGTTGATAGCCCATGTTTTTGTAATTCAAGCTACTTAAGAGGCTGAGATCTGAGGATCCTGGTATATGAACCCAGGAAGACAAGGAAAGTGTAAGAGACACT